TACAGTCTGCTCACTTAGAGATGTTAGTAACTTTCTTCTTTATACATTTGGTCAGTGCCTTAATCATTCTCCATGGCTTTGAGTTCGTTGATCATTACCAAGCTAATGTCCTCCCCCAGCCAATTATCTCTTTAGGATCAAGTCTTACATCACAGCCACCACTTGTTATAGTACGGCCCTTTTGAGCATGACCTATTAGTATCTCTATACCTATTCACCTACATGTATATTGGTGACCTCTAGATCTGCAAAATGAAAAAAAAAAATCAGAAAAATAGCCTTTTATTTTTACAAGTGAATTACCCTCTTTAGATATTAGCACCTGAGAAATTGCGACTATATACTCAATATTTTCAGATATATGCTATGATCTGTAAGTTCCCACATTAGAGAAATTCAGGAGTAATAAGATTTGTGGTTTAAATCAGAATTATAAATCGTTTGTCATATCACTAAAACTGAATGCTAAATGGACATAGGAATTGACTACCATAAAAATCAGATCTTCTGTGCCTCTGTCTTTGCCATTGTCCTAGATTCATTATGTGTTTCTTCTCAGTGGATAGGATCCCATCCCCTTCCCCTCTACTCTGTTTGTAGTAGATTAATGGTCTATCTAAACATTAGGATGAAAGAAAGTAACATAGTAGATGTGAGAAATGTTTACATGTAAGGGAACTTATCTGAAATGTTAGTAAAAAAGAAAATTGAGATGATCTCATCTGACAGGGCTGCTCAGCCCTCTCATAGAAAGCATATTGAAAGGCCATATTCTGGGAAAGAAGATGATTCTTGCTGAAGAAGCACTGGCAGGCTGCCTGTCATAGCCACCGCTGAAGACACCTTGTCCCGTCTCTTGGCTTACCAGACCCAGTTCAAAATGTGGTTCAGGTCCTGGAGAAACAATACCTGGAAGAAAAGCGGAGTGCCCTTGAGGAGCAGCGGCTCATGTATGAGCGAGAGCTGGAGCAGCTCCGCCAGCAGCTCTCCCCCGAGAGGCAGCCCCAGAGCAACGTCCCTGACCGCCTGGCCTACAGCAGCCAGACAGCTCAGCAGAAGGTGACACAGTGGGAGGAGGAGAGGTAAGAAGGGAACCTGGGAGACCTAGAGTCAAGGCTCCAGGGCTGTGCGGCTTTGGGGGTGGGTCGTGAGACATGTCAAAGGGAGACAGACCTAGCACAGAAGGAAATCTTAGTTGCATATCTGGATCGTTATCAGCTGGCTTTTCTTTTCAGTGGTATTGTCCATCCTAAGCATGTTTACTGTTAGTTGCTAAAGACATACCTGCCCCGCTTACCTACCTTTAGTAAAAATGGTACCAAGTTAGAAGGCATAGACTGTTATGTATTGAAATGGAGATAGTTTGAATAATTCTTTAGCATAAAGGCCATTCTCATTTTTCATTTCTCTTACTTTTGATTCTGTTTAAATACAACTTCAGTGTTAAGAAATCTCCTACATGTGAATTTTTAAAATTTATAACTTTAAAATACTTATATTAGAGCTGAGGTAATGGTAGAAGAAATGGTAACAATAACAATAAGGGCAATAAATTATTGCTAACTTCTGTTGTGTTCTTACTACAGTCTAGGCATGGTGCTAATTTTATTTCTCAGTCCCTACAGCTCTGTGCCAGAGAAACTATTATCTCTATCTTGTAGGTAGGGCAATCAGTTTAAATATACTGCCTGAGTCACCCATCTAGTAAATGAAAAGGCCAGAATGAAAAGGTCTATCTATATATATACCCATTAATAACTCCTTTGTTATAATAATAACTAATAGTAATAAAAGCAGCATATGATATTTATAGAGCATTAACCATGTGCTAGGCACTAAGTGCTTTATATATATTCATCCATTCTTCACATCTGCTACTACATTTTAGCATTTTCACCCCCATTTTATATATATTCATCCATTCTTCACATCTGCTACTACATTTTAGCATTTTCACCCCCATTTCACACATGAGCATACTGAGGCTGAGAGGTTAAATGACTTCCCAAAGCCATTTTCTGATCAGTTGGGACAGTGAGATCACAGCCTGGGCAGTCTGACTTCAGAGTTGCTACTCTAATTCTTGTAACCAAACTGCATATCTCTCTAGCAGTGAGATACTTTACTTGAACCACATCCGGGGGAGATGACTCCCTAAGAGGAGGAAAGGGCACCTTACTCTACATTAAAAGGCTCACCACAGTAATGCATTTGATTATCTGTTCTAAATTAAGAGAAGAGTCAATTACATTTTCCCCAGGAGCTGCCTGCTCATCTGGATACTAAAGTGTGAATAATTATCGTACTTAACAATATATTATTTTTTATATTTTGCGCCTGGATAAAACAAAGGTTAGCAGATGGTGCTTTTTCTGAAGTGCTGCCTTTTCCACATTTACTATGAGCTAGTGGCTTTAAGCAACAGCTAGCTAAAGGTAATTGGTATAATTGTACCTGCTGATACCCATTCTACTTGTCCTATTTACTTTTCTATGTACTGAAGATTATAAAAAACAAAAATGTATGCGATAGAAACGGTGGATTGCTTTTTGTTTTTGTTTTATTCTTTTTTAGTTGTTTTCTTTTTCTTGGATTGTTTTTAATTGTACTGTTTTTGAGTTAAATGTCAAAATGTTTTTCACTTCCCATAATTCTAGTTTAATTCTCTTTGAGACTCAAATTCTTAAGAGTAGAAAGGACAATATTTTGAAGAATGGTTACAATATCGATTTCAACAATGTTACTGGATAAAATCAAAATGTCATTAATGGTAGATGGATATATGAAAAGCTGGGACTATTATCTAAGTAAATGTTGATGGCTTGTGAAGTATTGAAGGACTCAGACCTTAAGCAAATGTTGAGAGTCAGAGAATCAAGTATATTTAAGAGCTAGTGAGAATTGCAAAGAAAACTAGAGATGTAGTTTATTCTTTCTGTAAACTTATAATGTGGTGTAGAGTAAGATATATATGTGAAAATAAAATAATAATAAATTGTAAAAAGTTGCATTCAAAAATAGGAAATGTTACAATTATATAATTACCTATTTGTTGTTTTTCTCCTCCATTGGAAAATAAATTCCAGGGGACAAAGAGTCAGTTTCATTCATTGAAGTTTCCTCAGTGTCTAGAATGATGTTGTCCTGTGGTAGACTTAGTGAATATAGATTGTGTGAAAATATTGAATAATAAGCAAGAATGTAATGGCTAGTTGGACAGAGGGCTCAGTAAGTGCCGTGATTGTTTAGTGGAGTGTGAGACCCCAGTGAAGCTGAGTCATCTGCAGAGATTTCCTGGAGAAGGAAGGATTTGAAGTAGGTGTGGAGCAGGGAGTTTGGATGTCAGAGAGAAGGCTGGGGCGGGGACCGGGGCAGGGACGGCACTTTGGATAGGTGGGTCAGCATTAACAAATGTGAAGTAATGGAGAGAGTAAGATGTGTTTAGGGGATTACATGAGAAGTTTTGTTTAGTCTAGAAGGTGATTTATAAAGGAGTAGGGAGAGTTAAGTCCAAAACTCTTAGATAAGATACACAGGAGGCCTATAGACATGCATGTTTGGGATTTAACCTATGAGAGAAGGTTCTGAGCCAAGGAGTGGCCCAAGAAGACAGGGTGTTCCTAAGGCCTGTCTTCTAGTGCATGAGGAAGAACCTGGGTGCTGTGAGATTGGGGGGAGGGAGGGGAGTGAGAGGAGAAGTATGAGGAACATGAACTGGAGTGATGAACAAAACCAAAAGAGATTTAGGAAATGTTTTAGAGGAAAAGTCAACAAGACTTTTTTCCTGGATATTGTGAAAAAGAGAAAAGACTAGCTAATTGAAAGTAATCAAGCCTGAATAACTGAAAAAAATGATAATTTAGAAAAGGCAGGAAGACAGTATCAATGTGTGATATCTTTTAGGTCATTTTATATTAACATCTTTGCAGTGGGCCTCATGTCATTTCTAAGGTGAAAAGAAAGGAATACAGATTTAGGTGTTGCAAATTCATCATTTCCCTATGAAGGGCAGGAGGTGTGTAAATGGTAGAAAAGAGAAGTTGTATAAGGCAACACAGTGCAGTGTGATAGACTGGGTTACCTTTGAGCCCAGATTCAAATGTGGAATCCAGAAGTACTCTTTCATTCAGTGGGTATTTTTTAATATCCTACAATGGACCATGCACTTGGCCGGAAATTAAGTGTAATGACAAGCAAAAGAGACAGAGCTCCTGCTCTAGGGGCATTTATAGCCTCTTAGAGGAGACAGACTTTAGTCAAATAATTACACAAATAAATGAAAAACTGTAACTATGACAAGTGCAACTGAGGCAAAAGATATGGGGCCGGAAGAACATATAAGAGTTTTGATGCAGTCAGGATGTCAGAGAAGATTTTATCAGGAAGTGCTATATTGTATAG